TATATATATGTCATTTTGTACAATTTGGATCATAATATATAAGCTGTTTAACATCTTCTGTTTTACACTCAATATTATGTTGGAAGAATCTTTCCACACAATTAATTCTCCTTGCAAATAACCTCAGCATTCACCTAATATTTCATAACTATAATTTATTTAATTGTTCCTCTTTATGGAGACATTTGGATTGTAACTTTTTCATTATCACAAAAATGTGAAATATAAACTGCATGCACAATTTTTGTTCATATTCTTTATCTGGAATACATCCCTAAGCAAAAGGAGTACTGAATCAAGGGTCATGATCAGTTATTAAGCCCTTATTATTATATGGAGTTAAACTTCTTTCCAGAATATTTTGTATCAACACACTCTCACCAACACTAAGTAATATAACTGTCATAAATCTTTGTTAATTTGCCAGTTTAAAGTATTTCACTGTCTTTAAATTGTATTCTTCTTTGATGATTTATGAAACAGAAGATTTTTTTAGACATCTAATGTTTTCTCTAAGCATCTTTTTATATTAGTTTTGTCTTTGTTTTTAAAACAGTTAGTTTTAAAACCTATTTCTATAATGGTTACCTGTGATATTTGTTGCAAGTATTTTTCCATTGTATTCTATATTTTTATGTAGTTGAACTCATTAGCTTTGCCTTGGTTTTTATACCATCGCATTTGCTTAATGCTCTTCCCCATCCAGAGATTATGTATATATTGATTTATTTCTTTTTCTGTTTTTGAAAAAATTTGCGTTCTACTTTAAGTCTTTAATGCATTCTATTCTTTTCCCTCTTCTTCTTTTTTATTTTATTTTATTTTACTTATTTTTGGTGATGGCATAAAGAGAATATTTACTGTATTTTGAAAAATGCCTATCCAGTTGTTTAAAAAAGTCTTCTATGAACTATACATAATATTCCTTTAAACTTTCTTTAAAAATGATGGCCTTTTGCTCTTTGATCATACTTGCTTTTTGTTGAGCTTATCTGTGCTCATTAGTTTTATCTGTACTTTTAAAATACTAAAAAGCCTTTGAATTCATTTATAAATTCCAGTATTTTTCTATTACCTGATGTATTGATTTCTGCATTCAACCTTTTTCCTGAATATAATTGGTTGTTCTTCTAACCTCTTGAGTTGAGTACTTAATTTTCTCTCTTCATTTATGTTTTTCCTTAATATTATAACAATCATATATTTCAAAGATAATAATAATAGGATGTGGGGGGGGTTATTTTTTTATCAGGAATTTAGGGTATGTGGAAAGCTATGCATTTTACTTTTAAGATAAAATCTTGGCCTACATAATAATGATATTCTTCAATTCCTCTATGCCATTTGTAGTTTTTCCTAATCTGTGTATGAGAAAGTTTACTTGCAGTAAGACTAAGGTCTGTACCTAACATCACATAGCTGCTAATCAATGCAAACAGAATGAAAAAAATAGTCTATCTGACTACACAGAGCACACTCCATCCAGCAAATTATTATGCTTTAGTTTCCTACCTTAAAAGTTCTTGTTTTCTAAATAGATCTAGAGAATTTTTCATAGTCTTCCCTAAGTTGAGTTTGATTTGCAAGATTCCTCTGAAACCTAAACATGACAGAAGTTCTGCAAATAGTTTCAGATAAATCTGGGGGACACGGCATTGCATCAAGCTGATTTATCCTCTTCAGAATATTCTTTCTTCCTGTTTGATGGCATCCTTAGATCATTTTATTTGAATGTAATGTAAGTTCACAAATCTAACTGCCAGTTACACCTTACTAAAGCCTTAAACACTCACTCAGTTCAGTTTTTTCCTGAAATGTGACTGTATTAGCCCTAATTTCAAATTGGATGCACCTGATGTTTTATATTCACCCTGAAACAAATTAAAACTGAGAAAAATAACAAACTGCAGCTTAGCCTCATCAGCACAAGTGACTAGAGAAGAGACGCAAGAGAGTAAATTCTCAGGAATTCAAGCCACTGCCCCTCCTTCCAAGTCCTCTTTTTATTACTGTTTTGCTATGGGAGAAAATACTACGGCAATTGTTGGGAGAATATCAATCCATGTACAGTTACAGAAAGGTGCCGAGAATGTTAACAGTCATAAAACCATGTTTGTGTATATGAATGTGTGTGTGTGTGAGAGAGAGAGAGAGAGAGAGAGAGAGAGAGAAGAGGGCTGTGTGTCCATTATGTAACTAATAACGTGGCCTAACTTTAAGTCTCGGGTTTATCTTCTTGGGTTTCTTGTCAGTTTTACAGAAAATAATCCTAACAGAAATTACTATGCTTGATCAAAATTTATCCTCCACAGTTGTAATCCCTGAGCTATTTACAGAGAAATCCGTTATCCAAATGCCGAACTGGATTCACGGAGCGAATGAACAACGTGACGGAATTCCTCCTGCTCGGCCTGACGCAGACCCCAGATGTGCAGAAGCTCCCTTTTGCTGTGTTTACAGTCATCTACTTTCTTACTGTAGCAGGCAACCTACTCATTGTTGTGACAGTCACCACTAGCAGAGCCCTGGGGGAGCCCATGTACTTTTTCCTGTCTTTCTTATCCTTCATAGACTGCTGCTGCTCAACTACCATGGCCCCCAAAATGATATTTGACTTACTTGCTGAAAAGAAAACTATCTCCTTCAGTGGGTGCATGACTCAGCTCTTTGCAGAGCACTTCTCTGGGGGAGTTGAGATCATCCTGCTCACGGTGATGGCCTATGACCGCTACGTGGCCATCCACAAGCCCCTGCACTACGTGATCACAATGAATAGGCACATGTGTGGCCTCCTGGTGGCCCTGGCCTGGGCCGGAGGATTTCTTCATGCTCTGATTCAAATTCTTTTTATAGTCTGGTTGCCCTTCTGTGGCCCCAATGTCATTGACCACTTCATCTGTGACCTTTTCCCTCTGCTAAAGCTCTCCTGCACTGATACACACATCTTTGGACTTTTTGTTGCTGCCAACAGTGGGCTGATGTGTATGCTTATCTTTTCCATTCTTATCACCTCCTACATTCTCATCCTTTGCTCTCTAGGAATGCACAGCACTGAGGGACAACGGAAGGCTCTCTCCACGTGTGCCTCCCATGTTACTGTAGTCGCCCTGTTCTTTGTACCCTGTATATTCGTGTACCTTCGGCCCATGGTCACCTTCCCTACTGATAAAGCGGTGGCTGTGTTTTATACCATAGTAACACCCATGTTAAACCCTTTAATCTACACCCTCAGAAACTCAGAGGTGAAAAATGCCATGAGGAGGCTCTGGGGCCAAAGAGTAACCTTGGGTAACAATTCATAAGAGTAGACAAGATAAAAACAAAATCTATTCATATTATAGGAGCAATGGTGACTAATAGAAAGGATAATGGTTTGCAAGTCAAAATATGTGACTTTAAGTATATTTTGCTCCACCTGCTTTCTGAAATCTTTAATGTTCCTCTGAGTTGATTCAATGATGACTAAAGCCTCTTCCAGTTAGAAACTTCTTTGCATCTACAAATTACTATGAATCAAAGGGGCATTGCTAATCAACATAAAAATCACAGGGTATGGGAAATCTTTATTGATGTATTCAGCAAAAACAATTTTCTTAAAGCTTCAGGTTTAGATTGTATAACCAATAGGCCAAATAATTAAAACATCTAAATAATAATTCCTAATGGCTATTTTGTTTAAAATGCATACTTTTAATTCCAACTATTGTAGTCAAGGTAGATTTACTATTGTGAGAGATAGAAATCAGTCAGAAATGAATGAATTTTAAGTAATGAGAGAGTCATTAAAGAAGGACTTTTCCCAAAATTAGCACCACAGTGCTGCACAATTCCAGGGGGCTCCATTTATGTTGTAATCTGGACTCTTAGAATAAACTATTTTCTATGCCTAAAGCCAAAGAAGGATATAAAATTCTTTCAGGTACAACTGTAGAGCAATCTTGCACATGCTTTCTCAGGCAGAAGATATTTTGTGGAGCACTTTTTTTGTAAAAGACATTCAAAGTAGCTTTCATTGGATGGATTTGTGCCTTAGCTAATAGAATCAAAAGAATCTGGTACAAAAAAAAAAGTTGATGATACCTGAGTAATCAAGACAGAAAGTGTACAATTCAAATTTGAACAGAAAATTGCAGACCAATTGCAGACCAAAGAGATGGGAAATAATTTGAGATATAGACACAGTGCAGTTTTAAGAAGAAGAATGCAGATAAAAGAAGGGGATCCAGATCTGGACCAGGACAGAAGTCCTGCAAATCCTAGCAGTTTTACTTCTACCTTCATAAGGACTGAATCAACCCAAATGACTCCATAGGCATGCCTAGATCTTATGTTAATCATTTATTACATACACATTAATATTCAACAGTTTAGTAAACAATTCATTCTAAATGGGAGTTCGGGGAAAGGGATGTGGGGAAAAGGGAACCCTTGAGCACTATTGGTGGGAAAGTAAATTGATGCAGCCCCTATGGAAAATGGTATGGAGGTTCCTCAAAAAAAATAAATAAATAAAAGTAGTATATTATCCAGTAATCCCTCTTCTGGGTATTTATCTAAAAGGACTGAAATTTGGATCTCAAGGAAGTATTTGCACTCTTATGTTCGTATCAGCATTATCCACAATAGCCAAGATGTGGAAACAACCTAAATGTCCATCAATGGATAAATCAATTATTTAATGTGGTACATGCATGCATGGAATATTATTCAGCCTTTAAAAAGAAGGAAATCGTGCCATTTGTGACAACACGGATGAAACGTGAGGTCATTATTCAAAGTGAAATGTAGGTAACAGAAGACCAAATACTGCATAATTTCACGTACATGAATTATATAAAATAGTCAAACTCATAGAAACAGAGTAAAATAATGTTTTCTAGGGGCTAGGGGAAGGTAGGAAAGAGAAGTGATTATTCAATAGATACGGAGTTTCAGTCTGAGAAGATTTAAAAAGTTGCGGTGAGGGTGGAGTCATTTGCACAACAATGTGAATGTATTTAATGCCACTGAACTGTGCATTTAAAATACTTAAAATGATAAGTTTAATGTTGTGTGTATTTTGCCACAATAAAAAAGTCAAGAGAAAGGGACAGACTATGAGTAACAAACAGAGGAGCAGAACTGTTAACTGTGGAGGATAGGGCTGCAAGTGTTGCTTCCCTCTCTGTTTTGAACTTCAGGAGTGTGTCAATTTAGTCTTAAGGTAAAGGCTGATGACAAAGAAAGGTGATTCTGTGCAGGGTTCCAGTCAGCTCTTCGTCACCTCAGAAGCTGAGGGAGAGAAGATTACAGTGGAGCCTCCTTTCTATACTGTTTCTATTCTCTACCTCTGGATGTCTTTGTACATCAGTGTTTGCCTGAGTGTGATTTTCTCAGTGGCTACTGTGTGAAAGCATAGCACTTTACTGTAAGTCCCCGGGATTCTCTCCCTGTGGGGCAGAGAGAAAAGCTACATAATACATCACAAGAATCTGTCGCCTAGGTTCTCACCCTAAAAGAAGCTGATATGTCTATGACTTTTAAATCACTCGATCTTTGGGAGCTGGGAATTCTGCCATCTAAGTCTCCTTAGTCAGTCACTGATAAAAACGTCACACTCCCTCAGGGTAATCTGGCACATAGCTTTGAAGATTGGCATTTCCATTCTCAGGGTAACCATACCATTTAGGACAGTCACGTTCTCAGAAAGAAATCCATTCTCTGAACTCTGACCTATGCCTAAAACCACCCCATACATCCTATGTCAGGCTCACCAATGTCAAAATGAGTGACGAAGCCCTATCATGAAGTTTTCCACTTACCTTAACCAAGTCTCACCCTAAACTATAGCCGGAGGTATGTGTTTAACCAAAGCTCAACTGCATTTCTAAAACTGGACTCTAATGATGTTTGTGGGTGCCAACCGGGAGTAAATGAATGGCTGTGGCTGATGCTTCAGCTATGATTCCAA